CTCCAGCCCACCTTGAAGCAGGCTGTGTTTAAAGTTAAATGCATTTTGCTGGGTGGGAAGGAGTTAACAGTGTTTGCTATGGTAGGAAACAGTAAAAGTTTGCAACAGTAAATTTGTTTCCAGAAGAAAAATGGTTTGGGTTCCAGCTGTAACAGGGATCTCTGGCATTTCTGAAAGCCAAGAATCCCCTTGTCTGGATTCCTCAGTGCACATTTCCAGGACAAACAATCTCTTCTGTCACTAGGTACATGGTACTTGTTTTGTGACAAATCTACTGAAATGAAATGAAATGCACATGAAATCCACATGAAATCCGACAAAACCTTATCTGAAAGTACTCCCACATCGTGGCCTTGCTGACATGGGGCAGTCATGAGTGTTCTCCTGTGACACCTGAGGAAAGCTGGTTCATCCCCAGAACACGGGACAGACAAATGAAGGTAATATGGAAATCTGTCTCCTTTACACCCCCATGAGTAGAGAGCATGAAATGTTCTTCTGTTTCCTTGTGAATTTCCTTGCACATTTTTTTCCTTGTAAAAATAAAAAGGTGATTTTTTTCCCCTGCCATTTAAAGGTGACCTGAGACTGTTGCTCCCTCTTCAGAACCTTGAGAAAGTCCTGCCTGCCCTGGCCACCTCTCAGCAAACTCCAGTGTGTCTGCACACATGATGGCTTTCCCCCTGGGAATGGTGTCTGTCTGAAATGACCACATTGCCCTGTTACACCATGTCTGTCTCAGGAACAGCCCAGACAGAGCTACACACAGCTTCACTTTACCAGAGCAGCAGACATTTGACAAAATCCCAAGGCAGATTTTTCACTTTCCCTGCCTAGTACACACCAAAGGCCGTGACTAAAACACTAACAATAACCAGATTCTTTCAAAACCTGAAAAGTATTATTTACCAGCAGCATTAGATGCCTATTTAATATGCTCTTTTTGAAAGCCATGGCTCAGTAAAAACTTCTATACTTCTTCCCTTGTGCTCTGTGTCATATGTTTTTCTTCAGATGCAAGTTAATCAACTAAAACAGCAATGGAAGTATCTTGTGCAACTCTGGATTTTTGCCTCCCACCCAGTTTTCAGCAGGAAAGTACATTGCCCAAGAAAAATGCTGGTAAAACAGGACACATCAAAAGCCTCCCAGGTTTTTAAAGTCCTCATGAGGTCCAAGAATTGTTATCATCTGTTCTTTGAAATTGTCAAGATGGTAAGCATGAATAAAATTAATCTTCACAGCACCCTAAGGGATTCACATAAGTGCCTGTAGATAAGTCAAATGTACATAGTCACAGTAAGCCTATCATTGCAACTTAAAACTACGTTTTACACTTGAAATTGTTTGGGTTTTTTGTTTTGTTTTTGTTTTGCTTGGCTGGTTTGGGTTTTTTGGTTATTTGTGTGGTTTTTGTCCTGGAATTGAAAAGAGAGTTTGGTTTCCATGTAAATGTCCAGCTTTGAGTAAATAGCATATTTTGTACTAACTGGTAATGAGCTTGATGAACTGAAAACACTTATAAAATATTTGAAGGAATGACTAGGAAATTGCTTAGTTCTCAATAACTGGAGCCAAATGCTTTCTTGGAGAAAATAAGCATGCTTACTCTGCAAGGGTAAAATTATGACAATCAAAAATTATGATTGTCACCATCTGAATAACATGTCAGTCGTTTGTAAAGACCTAAGAAGGCAGGAAAAGTCCTTGAAAAATATATTCCATTTAACATCAAAAATAGAAGAACACTTCTGCAAAAACCCAGCCAAACACCTTGTTCCGTGGACCTGAGCTCACTATTCTCTTCCATACAAAAAGAGCACACTCAGAAGCTATCACCCTCCAAGACAGCAACAATTATTATAGAGCTTGGGGGTTTTCACCACTACTATTTGATTAAAGCGGCTGAACACATTTCAAATGAAGGCGCTACACTTAAAGGGTTTCAACAGAAATAAAAAGCAGATTCTTCTGCCCTCTGCAGAAACGGCTTGTCACGAAAAAGAAATAGCAGACAAGTTTTCTCAAAGGTCCCCTACGGACTGTGGAGATTTACCTTAAGGATGAGCTTCTCCCGCCCTCAGCTCCGCCCACCCCTCAGCCCCGCCCGTCCCTCAGCATCTCCCGTCCCTCAGCCGCCACCTGGATCTCTCTGTCTGTCCCCAAGCGACGTGGCTTCCACCTGTGGGGTCCGGCCGACATGGCTGCGGCCTCCTCAGGGCTCTTCTCCCTCTGCTCCACGCTGCTGCTCCCGACCTGGGCGCCGCTGAGGGGCTGGCGAACCTTCCTTCGCCTTCCTCCCGGCGCCCCGGGCCGGCTGCAGCGCCAGCAGCGCCCCTCGCAGCGCCGCCAGCTACGCGGCGCCCACCGGGGAGGTTTCCTCCTCGCTCCTTCCTCCTCACCCTCCTCACCCTCCTCGTCCCCCTCACGTTGAGGCGGGAAGCGCGCGGGGGGCAAAAAGGGCGGGAAACGCCTGAGGGGACGGCGAGGGGCATTTGATCAGTGTTTGGTGAGGGACCGAACGCGGCACAGAGGTTCTGGTACTGCTTTTACAAAGTAATAATAGTGAAAATAGCATTAGAAAAGCAATAATTTTAGAAAGTAATAACAGAAAAAAAACAGCGATAAACATTTATAATGCCATTCACAAATATTACTGGATCATTTAGACCCATTTTTCATGCAGGTTTTCAAGTAGAAACAATCTGATTTATCTGAAATAGCAGTTTCCATATTACAAAATAAGTGATAGACAATAATAACTATTCCTACTAGAAGTAGTAACAATTCTTTCTATATAGTGACAGTCTCCAAATTCTGTCAGATATTTCCAGAAGTGTGTGCTATTTTGACTTTTTCACTGGTTTTCATCATTAGGCAAGAGAACAGGGATTTTCAGCTTCTCTTAAGCTGGATTGACATATCTTAACTTGGTTTAACTTGTCTTTTGGGTTATTCTATAAGAATGATTAAGAATTACAGATGTTGCCAAGAATTCTAGTGTGTAGTCTAAGCACGCATTACAAATTCTGTGTGGTAAGGGGATCTTCATGAGGATCTCACCTTAAAGCTTATTCTATTAAAGGGGGGGAGGGGGAAGAAAATCACACATTAAAGTTCTTTTTCTCTGATAACAAATCATCAAAACAAACCCAGCACTTTATGTTTCTTTTACTTGGGTATGCAGATGAAATTAGCTCTGCTACTGAAGTCAACAAAAGATGTCTTTGTGAATTTAAAACAAATCAAACCCACACCGAAGTTCCCAGCAATCCCCATACCTGTTATGTCTGTCCTCTTGTCACTTGCCAAACCGTTCTTCAGCTGACTTTGGTTCTGATAGATCACTCACCAGATGATTTAAAGATTTGGGATAACACTCATTTGTAGACAATCCCAGAAACTAACTTCTCTCCACTTCAGTCACGTAACTAAAAAAAGCCCCAGAAAATTTATGTCAGGTCACAATTTTCAATGTGCTTTTCATATTAAAAGTTCGGCAAACGTGTTGCATTGCTGATGTCATCACCTATATAAGCCTCTCTAAGATCGTGGCATTTTCCTTATTGAAAGTGTGTGCATTTTTCCAAAGCCTCTTGAAAGTTGCATAAACTCCAAAGAGTTATGCACATATTGTTGGTATTCCCTTCTATACCTTCGCAATAGTACCATATTCTTCGTGGGAATTAGACACGCTGTAGCATTAATGTCCCACAGCTGTAGAGTTCCCGACTCTTATCTGATTGGTTTTTTCGTTTTTGGTTTTGGGGTTTTTTTTAACAGCACAAAGTTTGTGCCTGAAATTTGAAAGTCTCTACTTTTCCCCGGCTGAACTTTTGCGTCTTCTGAAAGTAAAACCAGGACATTTGTGCCGCGTTCGGTCCCTCACCAAACTGATCAAATGCCCCTCGCCGTCCCCTCAGGCGTTTCCCACCCTTTTTGCCCCCCCGCTCGCTTCCCGCCTCAGCGTGAGGGGGACGAGGAGGGTGAGGGGGGTGAGGAGGAAGGAGCGAGGAGGAAACCTCCCCGGTGGGCGCCGCGTAGCTGGCGGCGCTGCGAGGGGCGCTGCTGGCGCTGCAGCCGGCCCGGGGCGCCGGGAGGAAAGCGAAGGAAGGTTCGCCAGCCCCTCAGCGGCGCCCAGGCCGGGAGCAGCAACGTGGCGCAGGATGAGGAGCCCTGAGGAGGCCGCAGCCATGTCGGCCGGACCCCACAGGTGGAAGCGGGGTCGCAACCGCGGGACGAGGGGAAGGGCCGGGACAAGCAGCCGAAGCGGGTGAGCGGTGGACGGGAGATGCTGAGGGACGGGCGGTGCTGAGGGGTGAGCGGACAATGGCGTGTTTTTATCCAGGGTATAATGTGATAAGAATAATATTTTAGAAAGGGCAAGCCATTAAAACCCAGCATGCACGTTGACTGTGGAAGCACCTGAGCCACATTGCTTTTGGAAACATTTAACTTGTCAGAATCCTTGCCAGGACCATAGCAGAACATGAAGCCTCACTAAGTTGACACATCCTTTCAAAGCTTTTCCCAGCTTTATAAAGGAATTTTCCCGTTGTCAGTAGGCTGGTGAGAGTGCTGTTATTTTGGCATGCTTTTTAAATGCTATTTCAGATCTTGGTTTGTTTACTCCTTCCGCTCCGCACAGGCGATTTTTTACTATAAAATCTGCCATTGAACATGACAGAAGTCACCAATATGCAAGCTGCAAGCGATTCCCTGAGTTTTCCCCTCAGAAAACACGGGGGTGCGGGGAATAACTATGAGGGGCAGCAGCGATGCTTGTTCGTGGAGCTCTGTGTCTACCCACCCCGAATTGCGACGGGAACAGCAGCTCACGGGAGCCAAAGGCTGCAACCAAGCCCATGTTTGGGGCACCTTTTGCGCGGCTCCTGCTGTACCCTGAGGCTCCAAATCCCTGTCACGCAGATTCCTCAGCTCCTGCCGTCCCCGAGCTCCGCCCGCTCTGGCCGCGATCCCGGTGCCGGCGGTGGCCCCGCCTGCCGTCGCTTGGTTGCGGCGCCGCTTCCGTCGGTGGGGACCGACCGAAATGGCGGCGGCCGCCACAGCCTTGTCCGTCTCCTCCGCCTCCTCTGCCGCGCTGCTGCGCCCGGGCTGGGCGCCCCTGAGGCGGTGGCGAACCCTCGCTCGCAGCGCCAGCAGCTTCCCCCGCAGCGCCGCCAGGTACCTTGCGCCGATCGGGTCTTTTTCCTCGTCATTCTCCTTCCTCCTTCCTCCCTCCTCATCCTCCTCATCCTCGTACCCCTCATGGCGCGGCGGGTCCAAAGGGCGGGAAACGCCTGAGGGATCAGCGGGCTCGGGCCCCCCGCCATCGCCCTTCGGGACGGATGCCCTCCAATCCCCGCTGAGTTCCGCGGTTCTTCCCGGGGAAACGGGGAAGAAGCAGCGGGAGAGCGGGGGGCGAGCCGGCCGTGGCCCTGGCCTTGGTGATACATTGGGGATTTAAGCGGTGCCCTTGAAATTGAAGAAACCCCTCGCGATGTGACCTTCCTGCCCCCTCCGTGAGGGGAGTCTGCGAGTATGCTTGCTCCTGATACCTTAAAGAGCCTGTCAGGGGATTTATACAGAATTGCCGTGTATATTCATCATTTAGTGGCAAACAGGGCATGCTTTGTAGCGCTGGGGATCAGTGTCCTGACAATAATCGCCCCCTGCATTTAATTTATTGTGCTGTCTGCAAATGGATTCTGGTGTTGGTTTTGCAGCACTGCAGCTCTGAGCTCCTGCCTGAGTCTGCATGGGAGGGTCTGTTTGAGCTCCTGCTTATGAACCTTTTCATGAACATGTAATTGTGTTAAGACCTGTCTGAAAACTGACTATGCTGAGAGCACTGTCTTTGCGATTTCAAGAATGAAAAGATCAGTGAGCTGAGCAGCCATTGAAATAAGCATCTGACCCCTTGGATGTTCTGTGTATTGAGTATTGATTCTGTCAGTTTTGGGAGAAACAGCTGTATTTCTGGACCAGTGCATATCCTACTTCTGTGCTAGGTTGCTAGTAACTGTTTTTTCCAGTTCTGCAAAACGCAGATGTCCCTGCACGAATAATTTTCCAGAGGTTTTTATGGGGTGTGGGACATGTCCTGTTGTGATGCTGGGTGTGATCTCGGGCTTCTGGAGTACAAATTGATCTAAAATAGCAGTGCAGATCTTAGTTTGTGTCATGGCCTGCAAGTCACTGGGTTCATAAACAAGAAGGATTTTCTGTGGTAAATCCATGGTGGGTTCAGAGTAAGAGCATCTCTGGGTGGGTGGGATAACAGTGGGACAGGATGGTGCAGTGACACATATTAAGTCTGTCATTTTAACTTGGTCATGAAATCTGTCACAAATCTATAATTAAACCTGTCATTTACCAACACCTGGTCAATGTTTTAATGTGTGTAAAATTTATGATAATAATTATTCATGACTTAATTTCAATGTCTTGAATAGCCTGCTGCAGTGTAAGCTTTCTGCACAGGCAGTGATTTATTTGTTCATGCTGTTCTTGTGTGATATAGCCATCAAAGGACTTATCTAGGACTTATTCTAAACCTAAGAAGCATCAACATGTTTCAGTACTTGCTATTTTTATATTTTACAGATTGAGAAGTGCTATGTACTGACTCCTTTCCCATCAGCTATGAAATATGAGAAATATATCTTTGAAGCTTGGACAGAAAATAGTGTAAATAATGCTACGTCAAATCAATTTTTAGGGAAATTTGAGGAGGGAAACGGGTAAAGTGAAACTTAAGGGAGTAAGACCATCCTCATATTTTATTCCAAAATGCAGGAGTTCATGTACATTTACATGGCTGGCTGTGTGTGTTGGGAAATGAGTTGTGGCTGGTGAGCTTCTCTTCCAAGTGCGCTGATGGCACATCCACACTCTTCAGGTAAGAGAGTGGATGTGGGCACACAGTTTGTGGAATTGGGAGTGGGGCTGTGGCTGAGCCTCACCCCCAGTGGGCTCCAGCTGTGAGCAGCAGGTGACCCCTGTTGAAGGTAACAGCCATGGAGTGTCCAGGGGCACTGGCCAATCACCACAGGGAGCAGAGGGCACACAGGTGCAGTGCATGAACAAGAGGGTGTAAAAGGTTGAACAAGAAAGAGCAGAGGCTTGCAGCCTTCTGGAGTTGTGTGCTGTGTAGGTAAGGGTATGGAGTCATCTGAAGAGCTGTGGTGTCACTGTGTATGGATGAGTGCTGAAAGCCTGAAATTGTATGGTGATACTTTGTGTATTGTGGCCATCTCAACTGTGGCAAGTGGGAAAGCGCTTCTTTTTCCGGGTAGGTTTGTAGTGTTTTAGTGTTTTTGAAGTAATAATTGAAGTACCACTACATGAATCAAAACATTTGGGAGTGTTGAAAATGGTAGAGTACACGCTTGAAGGTGCCTTCTTCCTGTTGCAATTTCAGCCCTAAGTACTGTGTACCTTTTTACCTTTGTAGTGATGAAGCAGCTGTTATCTCAGGGACGAGGCTTGCACACCAGGTTTTGAAAGAAGTTCGAAGGGATGTGGAATCGTGGATATCTGCTGGCAACCAGAGGCCTCACCTCACTGTCATATTGGTAGGAGACAATCCAGCCAGTCACATCTATGTCAGGAACAAGATAAAGGCAGCTGCAGCTGTGGGTATGTCATATGAGTGTTCCTTTAGTAAGCTTTAAAGAGAAAAAAATAAAGCAGGAGGAATACCCTTAGTGTCTTAATTTAATTTTGCACCAATTTCTTCTACATGTTCTCTGATGCACCTAAGGAATTGCATGGATGTATGGAGACAGCAGTTTTAATGTGATTTGAATGGGTGCTGCAAGTTTCATTTTGTGTTTGGAAACAGTTCTTAATAATCAGACTGATTTTTGGACTAAATGACTAAGCTGATCACTCTGTATTCTTATTCTGACATGTCCTCTGTCTTTTGTTTTTATCAGGCATTTCTAGTGAGATCATACTGAGGCCTGAAGACATTTCACAGGAAGAGCTTTTGGATATGACAGCAAAACTCAACAAGGATTCCAGAGTTAGTGGCTTATTAGTTCAGCTGCCTCTCCCAGGTGTGTGACATCTTTGTCCCACTCCTCATGTCACATGGTCCATATAAGAGGAAAGAGTTGAATAGTTTTGGGTTGCAAGTGTACCTTAGGGCCATAAGAAAGTCTTGAAAGAGGATCTGCATAAGGAAGGGTTGGATGAGGTGTTTTTTGTTGAGTATGCCGTTCATTTTAAAGAAAATAATTTCATATGTAAGACTTGCCTTTTTTAATGATCTGTCACAGTGGTGTTTCAAGGCATTTCACTTAATTTATCCAGTTTAATCTTCTTTATTTTTTTGCAGTTGTTGCACTGGTTTGCCTTGAGTTTTATGCTTTCATTCTCTATATCATGCAGCATTATGATATGTAGCAGGTGATGCTGTAGTCTTTCTCATAGCGATTCCATGTTTTGCCTTAAACATTCAACATTTGTTTTCATTGTTGGCCCTAATGTTCCAGGTGAGCATTGTGCTAAAAAGCCTTGACTAAATTTTTGGGGTTTTATTTACCTTCTCTTAATTTATAATAAAATCTCACTGAAATATCACTGGGGAGTAGTTGGCCAAGTGGTATTTTTGCAGGGATAAAACTTGCAGAGAAATAAAGAACTAAACTGAAGATGTTTTTTATCTATAAAACAGCCAAACTGAGTGTTATGAAGGAAAAAATGCTTTGGTTGTATTTGTAATAAACAGCAGTGCTCATGGTGAGGAGGGTTTGCACTTGGTGGTACACGAAAGCCGCCCAAAATGCGCCATGTAGTGAAACAAGTTCGCCACAAGGTGGGAGAATAACACAAGTCAGGAGCCACGTCCTGGCCTTCAAGGTAGGAGCTGATGGAAAGTGGACAGTTTCCTTTGGAGGAGCATCTCTCCCAGTGACAGAGATTTGCAGCAGCAGGTGATGTAATGAACAGAGTTTAATTGCAGCCATGAGAACTGTAGGAGATAAAGCACCAGCAGCTTGGGGATGGGAATCATCCTGTCTGACGCCTGTAGCAAAGGAAGCAGGCTTGTACACTGGACTCCCAGTGCTCCCTAAAAATGAGATGTCTCATGTGTCTTGCTGGTGAGGGTACTCAGGGGATTGGTTAGGTACCACTCATAGAAACGCATTTATCAGGAGAATATCAGGTTGCTAAAGTCTGCTTTCATCAGTGCAAAGTTCAGAACTTCTTTTAGTTTCAAAATGTAGTGAGTTTAAACCTGGTCAACGTGAGGAAAGAAAGAAAGCATGATAATAATTCTAGCTGTGTCAGTTGAACTGTTTGATGCTTCTGTGCTGAAATGCTCAAGTCCTTAAGTAAGGATTAGTCCTAAAATTGTTTGGAGATTCCTCCCAAGAAGTGACACAATAACTACATGAAGACTAATTAGCCTCCCTCCAACCTATCAGACAGGCATAGCTGTTGCTTGTGGTAGGAAAAGCTTTAGAACAATTTAATCCATAGCAGAACTTTGTTAATATTGCAGTATCTGTATAGTAAAGTAAAATGTGCAGTTTCTCATGAACTGGAAATATTCAGTAAGCTCTTGCTGTGTTAAGTATTTTTTTTTTCTCGAAGAAACTTAATAAATGAAAGGGTTAAAAGCTAAGTTAGGTTGTTTTCCAAATTTTATCTTTATAGTGACTAAGATGTAATGGAAGGAGACAAAGCTCAGAAGTTGTGAAAACTCTGTCAGTGGAGGCTGCTTATTCCAGAACTGAGGTTGTGGTGTGGGGTTTGGGACTTTTTTGCAGTAAACTACATAAGGTGTGGCTTTTGATCAATTTTGGGTTAAAAAGGGAATCAGAAATAGCTTTGTTCTGTTGCACTATTGTAAGCTGGGGCAACATAACTTTGAGGATTGTAATCTTTGCCTCAGGAGAAATTCTTTTCTGTGCACTTTTGAGTGCATTTCTTGTGATAGTTTTCTAGAAATTTTCCTTTTTTATTGGTTTGAGTTGCCTGGGAGAGGGCCACAAAATATTAATATATTTGGGACAGAAGATGAAAATCCATGCAGTATTTTTTTCAAATGCCTTTTGTGCTATGTTATTATTTTCAGTACTCTTCCCATTTGAAAAGCAGCCTTTATTTTCCATGTCCTAGCACCAGAGGCAGTTGTTGTGTAAGTAGGAGTTTCTCTGTGGGCAAATGCTTGGCCAGTGATGCCCAGTGTAGTCCTGCAAGTTCAGCCAAAAAGGGAGAGGAGGAGTGTAGGGAGTAACTTGGCCAGGGGAGTGGCTTGTAGTGACAGCAAGGAAATTTGTATGGGTATCAGCTCATGTTTTATGAGACTGACAGTAAGATAATTAAAAAATTTTGTTCCTCTGGAAATTAAGAAGGCATGTGGGAGCTTCTTCTCTGGCTCACAGGTCACTTGTCCCCAGCTGTGCAGCAGCATTTCCTCCCAGTACTGTAAACCCTGTTCTGGAATTCTGCAAATCAATTTTGAATGTTGAAAATATCCATGTAAAGCATGATTTTTTTTTTTCCTTTAACATAATTGTGTCCATTATCTGTCAGGTTTTGGGAAGCTAAAGACAGACAGTGTGGAGGAGGTGTTTTTCAGAGCAGTGTTCTGCTCATCCTAGGCACAAGGAAAAGCATGGCTGCCAAGTTTGTGTTGGAAGAACAACTGACTTGCCTAAGGGTAATAAGTTCTTTTGCAAAAGCCATTTAGTAGGTTACTCCAAATTTCTTCCTTGGTTTTGTTTTCCTTTTTAATTCCCAAGTTGACATGAAAACAGGGTTATGGTTGCTTTCAGTCTCTGTGAGGCAAGTTTCAGTTCTGAGAGACTCTTTCATCAATGTACTTAATATCTTAATTTCCTCAGTCTTTTCTCATTAGGATTCAAAAGCAAACTTGCTCTCATCATAAAGTGGAGAATTAAACTGTAAATCTTAGCAGCCTGGTTTATCTGTAGGGGTTTTCTAATTGGAAATCTTTTAACAGGAGATTAGCATGGTTTAAGTTCTACAGCATGCTTATCTTTTAATTATCTACCTCCTTTTAATGGAAAACCACAAAAAACTACTAAATTAAAACATCCTGTTTATGTCTCTAAAATATTTTACTGGCAGCATCTGAATTTCCTTGTTGATGCTTATTTTCCTTTATTTGGTTTTTTTAAAGCTCCTGTAGTGCTGTCTGACTTGGACACTGGGACATTTTGCCACACAGTTGCAGGATTCTGTTCAGGTTGTGAGTCATGTAAGGGATGCAAAAAGCAATTGCTCTGAGATGGAAATGATAAACCCTCAGCCTACTTGTCAGGTTTAGGGGAAAGTACTTTGGTTCACTCTTGCTGGTGCTGGGGAGGAACAACCAAATTCCCAGGAGGTTCAGTAACAAACAGGTCATTAACCCACAGAAGGTCAGCAGCTCTCTCCCCATCTACCTGCTCTGGGGGTCAGCTTGCCTTTCTCCCAGACAAAACCTTTCAACAGGTCAGGGTTGCTGCAGGCCCTGGGTCAGTCAGTGCCATTATGGGGCTCTCAGCAGGCCGTGGGTCAGTCATTAAGCACAGTTTGCTTTTTGGGTTAGTATGGGAAGTTTTATGGAGCTGTTCCTCTGTGGTGTTATGTATTCCAGGTTTATGCTTGGGTTTGTAACTCTGCAGGGAGAGCTCTGGCAAACACTTTTTTTTTCATAATCAGTACTAATGTTTATGCTGTGTAAGCTTTAAGCAGTTACAGAACTGTCTTGTATCAGTGCAAATGAAAAATATTTAGTATGAGTACATATGAATACAAAATTTGTGCAGGCAATGCCATTTAAGCCATATTTAGTGTTTTGAGATCACCAATGTCAAACAGTTTGGTGTCTTCTTGGTTTTTTTCATGAAGTACACTATGTTTTGGTCCTACTGATGAACAGTTGACTAAAAAAACCGTTGTTGGAAAAGGAAAGCTAGACCTTCGAAGTTACTTCGGCTTGAGATTTCCATTAATTTGTTTAAAAATTAGCTCGTGTGTCCTCTGTGGGCTTAGAAACCAGAAAAATGCATCTAACTGTTCTCCTGTGGTTTGTTGGGTATTGTACTCATATAGCTGTTATATATTGCATTCATATTGCTGTTATTATATTTCTAGAGTCCCATGCCCTATGAGCAGTTCTTCTCAGCAGTGTTGTTTGTTGCTTCACAGTCAGGGCTCCTCCAAGGCTCTCCCTGACTGGAAAGCCCACCCCCTTTTATCCCAGTTGCCTTCATGAACCACAGCTGCTGCCCAGTTAAGGACTTCACAGCTGTAGCTCATTTACAACAACTAGGATTGGGGCACAGCCACTTACATAATACATATATTTTACAAGGATTCCTACTACAGTTGGACTTTTTGAGTCATTCCATGTTTTAAGAATTCTACTTTGCAGAAATGACTTCCTTAAATATTTCCTCTAATAGTTACTGTCCTCATTCTCAGCTGCATACTGGGCTCTCATATTTTGACAGGGTCTGTTTTATCAACACTGTAACAAATGGCTTAACCTAATCTTCAGTAAAGTGTTTGTTTGAAAAGGTAAAGCTGCCTTTAGGGGCAGTGTAGCTGGTTCAATCAAGAGCAGTGATTGATTATCCTGGCCAGGTCTGGGCTGTGATGATGCCTTGATGGCACCTGACAAGGGAAGGAGCTGTAGCTGAGGGCTGTGTGTCTCCTAGGTCACATAGATGAGCGGACAGTGTGCAATGCCATCGCCCCTGAGAAGGATGTGGATGGGTTCCACATCATGAACATTGGGCGGCTGTGTCTGGATCAGCCTTCCATAATCCCTGCCACCGCTGCTGCTGTCTGGGAGATCATCAAACGGACAGGTAAGAGACTCTCCTCTCCTGGAACTCTTCTTGTCCTGGGAGGTGAACAAAGGATCAACTCAGGTGTGAGCTAAAAGGTCAGGGTTCTATAAATGCATTGGGCTGATTGAAGAATGAACATTTAGAGTATAAATCTGAATAAGGAGCTGCCAAGTAGATTGCCACTTGTGCCATTAGCACAGCTATTATTTAAGTGTAGACAGTAGTGTTTGGTGGAGCACTTCAGTAGCTTTCTGGGTTTTGTAGTTTTGCAGGAAATTTTTGGTGCTGTTGTTGTTCTATTTGTCAAATAAAAGATGGGATGTGTAAGCCCTTGTAGAGAAGGGAGAAAAACAAGAACAAAAAATGGGAGCACTTAATTCAGTACTGGAAGGGAGAAAAATGCATATGTTTTCAATAGTTGTAATTTTTTATTTACAATGTACGTGTCCTTACTGGTAGGCATAAGTACTTCCTGTTGTGGCTGGACTGAGGAAATTAAGTCCTTGCTAAGGGTGATTCAGGTACCCTGAATGAGCTCTCAGTTTTCTTTCTCTGGGGTGAGAGCTGAAAGTTTTGTGGATTCATCCCTCAAATTCAGCCTTGTGGATTTTCAAGTCGTGTTGATGTCAGCAATCCACAACCATAAATAATTCTGTTGTGGGGATTGAGAAGAAGGGTTTAGATATATCAAAATACTGGAATATAATTTTTTACTTTTTTTTCCCTGCAAGGAATACAAACATTTGGAAAAAATGTTCTTGTAGCCGGAAGATCCAAAAATGTTGGAATGCCTATTTCAATGCTTTTACATACTGATGGAGAGCATGAAAGGCCTGGAGGTAAGTCCAGGAATGTTATCCCAATGTTTCTATTTGTGAAGTCCTGAAAATAAAGCTGGCTAGAGGACTCAGATTTAAGAGCAAGCTTTCCACACTTTTGAATACTTTCGACCAGACCAAGAAAATAAATTTGCTCACATATTTCCTGCCTTATTCTCAGGAGAGCAGTTTCTGGACTTGACTTTTTCTGGTGTTAAGTCATCACTTCTTCCTCCATTTGAAACAGCTACTATTTCAAGTGATCCTTGAGGGTAGCCTTGAAGAGCTGCAGAGGCTCCCGTGATGTTTTTACAATGTAGCTGTTTATATGCCTTACCCTCATGCTTGTTCAATATTGATTTTGTTGGTCATGCGCCAGTGAGCACACATGTACACGTATGTATACATGTACACACACAGATTTAAGTATGAATAAACAAAGTGTGGCATGACCCTTGAGTTGTGCTATGTCAGTGAGGTGTTGCTTATAAAAGTACCTGAATGACCAACCAAGGAACTCTACAGCGTGAGTACCATGATTACTTGTTGGCCTGGGGAGTGTTTCTATCTATAAGTGCAGTTTATATCCCCCTGGAAATTGAGTGCTGTGGTGGAAATATTTTTAAGGAATCCTTATTATGGAAGCCTACATGTGCTGCTATAATGGTGCTGTAGAAATTAAAACAAATATAGCTTAGATAGACTGCTGCCCTTTGGCTGCTTCATTTTGATGTTAGAAAGTGCTGTGGTGGTATCCACAAATGAGGTGAACATGGACATTTAATTCCAGGCCTGTTTAATTGGAGCAGAGTGAAATCTGTTATTAATATAATAAAACACTAAAAGCTTTTTACTAATCATAGAGTTGTTTTTTCCATTCAGCCTCTGTGGGAAAGTTGTTATTTGGAACTTCTCTCAGTGCCTGGATTGTAATTACCATTGCTGCATAGTTCTGGTCTCATCCTCATTCCCACGGAAATTAGTAGCATTTTTGCCACTTGCTGCAAATATTGGGTGACATTTGTTATTGGCAGTGCAGCTGATGTTTGAAGTAGGCTTGGTAGAACACAAGGTCATGTTACAAACTACTTACACATTTCCCACCTGGAAATGAGGGGACCTAGCAGCAGCTTGTTGCAAAACCCTCAGCAGCTGCATGGGCAGTTTGTAGCTGTAACTAAATACTGTTGGCAGCTTCCAGCTTTTGAGTGGATTGGATCCACGGCTCAGTTTTGTTGTCTTGTATCCTGGCTTTCTAGTTCCTGTTTGACTGTCTGGTAGTGCAGCTTGGCTTGGGGAGTCAGTCCATGAGATTTTTGTGGTGCTTCATGGTCTTCTGCCAAAGTTGTGGTTCCTGACATGTCAGAAGACTTTGATTGAAGCCCTGTTTGCGGGCATTGCCAGTGGTTCTAGGTATGTCACATATTTGGTGCAGGGGCAGAAGAATCTTCATAGTCCCTTGCTGACACTGGAGCCTGGATACAGAAAGAGTTAACTCATGGAAGTTCTTTGCCTAATCTGAAGAAATGGATTTATTTCTCAGGTAGTTTCATAGTTTTCCAGTCTGCTGAGTGCTGGCACACAGTATAAAATAGCTGGCAATGAGAAAACAAAAGAATGTGTACTCCTGATAATCAGCTGGCATTAAGTGTCTATGTGCTGTGCATATGATGGTAAATAATTCTGTATTTGGGGTAATCTGGTGGAGTTTTCCTCCCTGACTCACAGATGGGGCTCTCCTTGAAGTTCATCTTTTGCATTTGGGTTTAATTTCTGCTTTGAGCAGTGAGAGATTGGCCTGGATGGCATGTGAAAAGGAAGGGGGGCCAGCCATGGTTTCAGCTTTTTTTCCTTTTTGGAAACTCAGGAGGATAGGGACCAGAGAAGAACTACAGTAAGATGCTGAAAAAACTTTCTCAGGTTATCAGTCAAGAAAGAGGTTTTTTCATCAACTGGGCTGATTTGATTAATTTTTTTACAATTGAGAAATGATGCAAGGGGTGGGTATACATGGTACTACTTTTTCTTGTGCATTTTGGTTGGTTTTCTTTCTAGATTATGAACGAAAACTATAAGTTGGGGACTGTCATAATTTGTGATGTTTCATATGTAGATGCACTCATGTCCTGCAGGTGGCAATATCTGATCAGATGGAAAAGCTATGTGAACCCCTTCCAAAATAAATACTGTTCTGTGTAGGCAGGTCAAGAGACTATCTCTGTTTTGTAAGCTAGGGAATTGGCTTGGGAGTATGATGTGGAATCTTAATTGTTAAATATATTCCTCTTCTTTCAGCAGAAGTAGCAGTGTAAAAGTAGTTGTTAATTTTCTGTTTGGGCATGATCACAAATAAATGGAAAACCTCCCCTTTCTGAGGTGTCTGTAAGCTTCTGGACTGCTATTCTCAAGGTAGGGGCTTTTTTTTTTTCCCTTTTTTTTTCTCCTTTCATTTTTGGTAGTGAAGGCAGTTGCTTGGTTTCAGGAGCTGACTACAGACACATTAAAACTTTACAGACAAATTAGCACCAATTTTATTCCTCAGAGATAACCTTGTAACTTTGGCTTTTATCCATTGGTTTTTCTCAACCTTTATGCTGAGTCATGATTGTGGTTTTGGGTGAGACATACTTCTTTTGCTTAAAGCAGGTATTGGAAGACTCCCCTATTTTTTTCAGCCTGTACTTTTCTGTTTTTGTCATCTGCAAATATTTTGATCTGCTTGTCTTTGGGGAGATAATGTGCACTGTAGAGCCTGAAGAAGAGGCATAAAAAATGAGGGGAGAGAGCAGTGAAGCCAGGGCACAGAAAGGTTGAAGATGAGATGCCTGAGAGAGTTAATGAGAGGCACAGATTAGACCAGTCAGACACATTCCAAAGGAAGCAGATGTGATGGTCATGTCTGAGAAGGCAAAAGGTTTCAGTTTAATTGCAAATAACACAACCTAGGTGTCTGTGATGAGTGGAAGGCAGAGTTGGGGGTATGTAACACCTGAACACTGTGCAGTGAAAATAATTACAGAAAGGGTTGGCAGCAGTCTTCTTGGAGAGCTGTTCTCTCTGCTGCTTGCTTGGGCAGCCTTCAAGGGAATACCACACTGCTATTGGATGCAGTATGAGGCTTTGGACCCGCTCCCTGTGACTGCTCATGTTGTGGTCTCTCCTCAGTGTCTCCATCAAACATCACAAGGGTTTTCATGTCTTAGCAGGAGAGTTTATTATGTGTGCTTCTTGTACTTCTGCTGGTGGTCTTGTATTGAAGTTTTTGTGTGTGGCAAACAGCTGAGTCATGTGGCACCCTCTACACACTGACCTTGGTAAAACACACTGGCTTCTGTGCTGGGTTTGTTTTGTGGAGTTCCACTGAATGTAACAAAGCTATGGAAGGTTTTCCCTTCCCATGGAAGGGAGTTGAGCCCACAGTATATAAATGAATTCATCCTGTGAGAGCTTTTAAGAACAAATGTTTTTTCATATGTGTGAGCAGCAAGTCTTGTGAGTGTTCTGCCTATGCTGATTTACAAGTCACATCCCAAGACAAATCTGATCATCTGTTCTGTTGTTAATGTACCAAAGTAAGTAATTTGCACCTGAGGGTAAATGCTGTGCTTTTTATAGTATTTTACGTCTGACAATTCATTGTTTTTCTCTTCTGTTTCAGGTGATGCTACAGTGACCATTACTCACAGATACACCCCAAAAGAGCAGCTCAAGATCCATGCACAGCTTGCTGACATAGTAATAGTTGCTGCAGGTAATGCTGGTTGGTGTTGATGCTCCAATTGCAGTATTTCAGACCTTCTGAAAAGAGGACTTTGCAGTCTGTGTCTGTGGCACTGGCTGTTTCACACTTCACTGAATAATCAGTGCTTGCTGAGGGTGTTGCAGTAGGTAGGATTTCTCCCTGTAGGAAGGGCAAGTGATTTGGCTCTTTGTTCTTGCCCTTCACATCTGCAGACTCATAAACTGTTTCTTGTCACCTTTCCCTTAGGGAGACTTTGGAGTGAACTCAAGATTGGGAACCAGTCAGTGCATAGTTTATACAGGTGTAATTATGTAAATTAAAACATTCTCTGTGCCATGGAAAAATCATGAGTCATTTAAATTTTGACAGGAGGGTTTCTTTAAATCAGCTGGAGCCTGCATTCATATACCCACAGTATCATTCCACCACTGTTAGAATTAAGGCCAACCTTGCCAAATTAACTGGAGGTTTGGGTAAATGTTAGTAATGGCTGAGGCTTTTTTTCTTTTACAATTATCATGTCAAGAGAAAGACAATAGTAATTGCCTAGAGGAAGGGGACTGAAAGAGCAGTGTCTGTACTCTTAAAGCAACATAAACTGAAATACTTGGGGTTTAACTAATCTGTCCCAAAGAAACAAAAGGAACTCTGCTTCTAAGTAGCCTTTTTTTATTTGTTTACAGGTATTTGAAGTAGAATACAAATTAATTTTAAAAAATCAAGTGACCCAACTTAGTATGACCTTGGTAAAATTCTGGGTCCCTTTGCAGCTCAGGGGTATCATCCTTCTCTTGTACTGTTTTGTTGGACTACAAGAGGATTGTCCTTCCTCTTTTCTGCTCCCTTTCCCCCTCTTTCTCATCCTGAAGATCCAAGACTTCCTTATGTATTTTCTAGATGAAGACAGACAGGTACCTGTCTAAAACTTGTCACTTCGTGTTGAAGTGAGATGCCCTTGCCTTCAGGGTTTAACTTTGCTGGCAGACCAGGATCAAGAAACAACTTATTTATCCCACATCTAATTGTTCAACTGTGGGCCTGACCAGAATTCACCACTGTGAATAAAAGACAGCAATGGTGTGCTAACTGGAAATAAACCAGTGGCATTTCATCCAAATTCACTGCTTCCAGTTTAATCATTGCTTCTTATTTCTGTGCTGAACATGGTTTGTCATTGTTTATACTTGGAGTTAAATGGTCTGGTAGCCATTCAGCCATGTTTACCTTTCACATTATTTTCCTTCTATAATTTGTAACAGGAGCATGATACAACACTCATTACACAACTTGAGATATACTTGGAATGATGAAAAAACCTGGGGCTAGGTTGTGCAAACAGGACTCAGCCCTGCCCTGGTGTATGCTCTGGGGAAAGTTGTGTTTTAGAAAGGTGGAATCACTTCAAGCTTCCTTTTATTACATGAGAACTGTGCACATTTTACCTCTGGGTTCACACACTCCCCGGAAATGGGTGGTCTCTTGAGTAAGTGTCACCTTTCTTGCAACTTGTACCTTGCCAGGTTGGAACAGCTGCTTTTACAGGCCACTGCAGAATATGTGCAGAAGAAGAGAGCTTTTTTTGTGTGTACCTGCATTGGAAGACCAAGGTTCCTTTTCCTGTGTGGTACTTTTGCAAGAGCCATCTGCATCCTGGCTCCTGGTTGGTGACTTGTTGCAGTGAGTCCCTTCTGATCTGATGCTCCTCCTCTGAGTGCTTTCCTGTTCACTTGCTTTCATGGTTTTGGTGGTACTTCAAATCAGGTGCTTCTTTTCTCTTACTCCTGAAAGTAAGAAGATCTGGCTCTATGTGCTGTCTCTCATTTGCCCCCAGGCTTGGGGCACCGATTTTCCTGATTTGGATTGTAACTATCCATGCAGTTGATTCCTTCTTATTCCTACCCAACTCCTTGCATCTTAAATTCCAACAGGCTGCTTTTGTCCAGCCTACCCCTCCCTAAAATTTCTTTCAATACCACACAGCTTTTGGATTTCTATCTAAGGCATTGTTTCCTGTTAAGCACACCTGACACTTTGTATCTTGCCACAGGGGTTCCCCCTCTTGGCCTGCACTCCCTGCCTGTACAGACATCCCATGGAGTCTGTTCTTTCTGCCATCAGCCCAGCCCCGTGGCAGCAGTGCAAGTGCAGCTTTACCCAGCAGTGCTCCTAGAGCCACCTCAGGACAGGCAAGGCTGTGATGGAAGCAGCAGGACTCTGGAGCCAGTCAGCTTGCTGCTCCTGCTCTCTGGGCTTTCCAGTCTGCTGAGAGAAACAGGGCCCATCTGCCTGCCACGTTTTGGAGCAGGGATAAACAGGAAAAGTAGTGACTGTGTCAAATTCCAGATGAACTTCTGCTTGGACTGCTTGTGCTGTCCCTCAGGACATGATCTGTGGTCTTGTGTCAGAAGTGCTGGTTGATCAGACCTTTTATTCTGGTTAGCTTCCTTGGAAATTCACGGTTCTTGCACCTAAACTCAGATTAGGTAGGGCCTTGTTTTTCCTTTGTTTAAAATGTGATTCGTCATTTTCTGCAAAAATTGCCAATGAAAAGTTTTTCCATATTCTTCAGTCAGTGCATTTTAGGAAAACCTACCCTAATGTTTATCCCTTCCTACTTGGTATGTAAAGCAGGCTTAAGTAGCTAGATATGCTCATTTGGTTTGGGGGTTAGTTCATTTGTTGCTACTAAGTATTTGGCTTATTATCAAACCATTTTACAAAGCATGTAACTGTGCAGCTTCCATTAATATACTTGCAGCCCTATCACACACAGATCATTTACCCCCATAAGGCTGAAGCATTATCCAATTACCAGCCAGGTTACCATGGATTACATCAGATTGGGAGGAAGGAGATGCAGTCAGATGTTATCAAACAGGGTAGGAAAGAGTTTGAGATCTTGGCTTGCTCAACATGAGAAGCAGAGTTTCAAGCAAGTATCTTATAGGGGAGTGAGAAATGGAGAGCAAGGAGTGTCCTGGTACTGTCTGTATCCAAATGGCTGTGTCAGTGCTTCAGCACTGCACATGGAGCCAGAGCCTTGTACACCAGCCCTTCCCTCCAAAAAACTGCAGTTTCAACCCGTATGGATTTGGTTTCTTTTCCTTTTTGCCTTCTCCCCACCTGAGAGAAAGCTGCTTTGATGGGGAGAGGGGAGTTCAGACTCTCTTTTTGGAGGTAGCTTAACATTGCTTTCAGAACAAAAAGCTGATGGCATTGCTCAAGAAGGAAGCTGTGTTGTAATATTTAGTTTGGAAATTCCCACTACTGAAAGTTGGAGGTTGCGCGGTAGGGAAGAAATTCCTGACAGGAGTCATAGGGCCATGGATACATTTCATTAGCTAGACTTTGAAGTGACCTTTTAGGTTTTCTGGGTCCCCACTGAAGCACATATTTGTGATGAGTATCAAGAAGCTTCACATTTAAATGTGCTGGAGAAACATGGGGCATAGGAAAAAAGATGAGGTGGCTCTTTCAGGTGGAATTTTTTAATAGCCAAATACTCGTACTCCAGGACCCCAGACAGAGATGAAGAAGCCCATAAAGTTTGCAGTGCCCAGGGTGGGTCTCCCAGGACAAGTGCAGAAGTCTCCCAAATTGCTGTAAAGAGCAAGAAATGGTCTGTTGTCCCTGTGGAAGATCAGTGTTGTCTGCTGGGATTACTGTAACAGTTGAAATTTTCTACTGGTTGAGTGTGTTTCTTGACCCAAAACCAATCCCATGGCACAACTTCTGGTGGGATGTTTTTTGTGGGTTTTTTTTCCTCGTTTCTCTAGTAGTAGTTACAAACAGTGTGCAATTGATGAATAGTTGTGTTCAGTGTGGGGTGTACCAAGAAATATTTAGTGTTGTAGATTTCTATTCTGTGCATGCATAGCTGTGCATGCACACCCCTTGATATCATTCAAAAGTGATAACTTCAGGTTGCCTGGCCGGGGTAGTGAAATGTGTGTTTATGATTCCAGGTATCCCGAAGTTGATTACAGCTGATATGGTCAAAGAAGGTGCAACTGTGATTGATGTAGGCATCAACCATATCCATGATCCTCTTACAGGAAAAACCAAATTAGTTGGTGATGTGGACTTTGAAGGTTAGTGAAACACACTTTATATAAATCCATTGGATAAATATATTGAAGTTGATAGCATTCATTCATGGTAAGTTTTTGGACTAGGCAGTGTCTCAAATAAGACTAGGTTTTCAGGAATTTTTTATAATGTGTTTACTTAAATAAGAACAAAAATTTATCTGCTATTAAGAAATTGCTTGTTAGTTAGGAGACAAAGTGTCACTTTAATTACAGGTACCAGCAACCCCTAAGAGACACAGATGAGCTCTTTGACACTGGTGTAGAAGGTGCTTGTGTCCAGTTCCTTTAATCTTTTGAGTTTGTGGAATGTTTGAAAAGTAATCAATGAAAACAATTTCTGCTCTTTCTCAAGCATAGAGTCTCCTGCTGTTCATAGCAACTATTATTAAACCACAGCTTCTCAAAGCCTCTTTTTGTTCTCCTCCTCTACACTTGTCTGTGAAAATGATAACTTGGCTTTAGAAATGTGCTTTATGCTAAAGTTTAATGTGTGCTCGTCTAAAGTGCTTAACACCTTAGTCCAGGCAAGCCTAACAGATAAAAATTGTTGTTACATATTGATCTTTTTATGTTTAACTTGTTGCAGAGCAAGTTCACAATGTAACTTGATTAAATATCTCTGCTCTGGAGGAGCTCCAGACTGGAATAGCAGGATTGTTGCACTTATTGGCAGGGTTGAGTGTGGGAAGCTTAGACAGCATTTACCCACATTATTAATGGTTCTCAACAGTTCCTTGTTTTGATAAGTATGAAAATCACCCACAGGTTTTTTTCCACAGTTATTAACATCTTGGCTGGCATAATGTTTCAAAGCTTAATTATATTCAGAATGGTTTTAGCCAGCTGTGTGTATTTCTAATTACATCACTCCCTTAGTTCCCTGCTGCTTTTATTCATCATGCATGTTACCTGTCTGTTAAAGTCTGTGAAATTACCTGCATGAATATAGCTGAGCGACTGTCTTGGAATGTGTTTGGAAATGTGTAACTGGATGTGTGCAACAGGGCTCCAGGAAAAGAAACCTTTTGGAGGACAGCTTGAAAAAAAAAAATTCCCCCTTATCCTGCCTGGATTTGTGGTATCACAAAGAAAAGGTTCTATTTTCTGTTTTCAGAGCTGAACTGAAGTACAGACAGTTTCCAGGTATTTGGTTATCTTTAGCAGGTAGGGGAGTACAAAAGCTGTAACTTTGGGAACGTTTCACGTGAACCTGCATCCTTCTTGTTTATTTCTCTTCAAACACGGGACCTTGTGCCTGCAATAAAGGTGACGATTCAGTGGCAAGGCCATGATTCAGAGTTTCAGCAATGTGCTGTATCTGTCTCATCATGTCTGCTGTGGGTTGTTCTCGAGATTTCACCTGGGGGGAGGGAAGATCCAAAAAAGAGGGAGGAACTTCAGCTTGGATTATGCCACTGCAGTTACAAGTAGCATTTCTCTGTGCATTGCCAAAGGGAAGCTGTTGTTGGTTCATTGGTATCGGTGAAAGTTTCACTGAATCTTTAACAACAACAAAAATCATCCCAGTGTATACAGTTCTGAAGACTAGCAAGTAAACCACCCTTGGCAAGTACTTGATCTGGCAGTTAGGAAATGGAACAAGCCAGCAAGTTTGTGTAGCAAATAATTTTATCCTTTTCCCCTCTTTGATCACTTGGCTGGAACTCTATTTAAGCCTGAGTGGAAATGGATTTTGCAGGTTGAGGCTAGGCACATAAATGGCTGTCTTGACATGTGGCACCTGTGTAACATCACATAGCCCACCAGTATGTATTGTCTCTTCATCCACTTCAGGAGAAAAATCTGGCTGTGGAGAGAGAGGTTTAAGTGGGCAATCAGTTCAAACTTCGTTTACAAAAACTAGAGGGAAATGTCTTCCTTCACCAGGTCATCTGGCTGAAATGTTCCTGTAGTGGAAATTAGTTTTATTAGGTGGGTGGAAGGTGTTTTGATTCAGTTGCTTATCTTGCAAGTACTTGGATCCCATCTTCTAATCTCTGCAAGGTAGGTGAGAGAGTTAAGTTTATTTTTATCTCTTTAACAACAAAAGGATGCATTTAATTTCTTTTTTGTCTGTCATTGTTAAATTCAATGTACACATTTGTGAAATTAACAGAATGCCTTTAGTAAGCAGTATTTGTGATTTCCCATTTCCCCACGTGTCCTCTTTATTTTGACACTCCAAACTGCGTGCACATCAAAAACCAGTAGTTGCTTGGTCCAGAATAGTTTACTGTGCAGTTCCCAGGTATCTAAAAGAGCAAGACAGGAGAACACTGTCCATGTGGAGGTCAGCTGCAAAGCACTGAGATATCCAGCCTGATACTGCAGGGATAAATGGAACTGCATGTGCTACTCTTCATGTAAAACTACCACAGCGTATGGAGAATCCCTGCTTATGTTAAGAATTCTATGCTCTGGGAAGTGGCTGTCCTCCCTTGTGGAGGCATCAGGAGGAAGAGTGAAGTGCCAGGAATGAGGAGAAGCAGTGGCATCCCTGTGTGATCCCCAGTGCCATTTTAGCTGCTTTTGGGCAGCAAGTTTCAGTTACAGAAGGGAGATCTGTTTCTCTGAGCAGCCCAGTGCGTGTGTGGGTGCACTTGGCCCTGTTTTATACGCTTTTGTTGCCACAACTATAATGCCAAGGGAGGAGGAGGGCTACAAGAACCAGGAACATGAAATAAAGCAACAACTTACCCAGAAGATTTAGCTGAAACAGCTCTTTTGGGTGGAGCATCATTTCCAGGAGTAACTGGTAGAGCAGGCTACTAATACGCTGCAGTAGTGGTTCATCTTTGCAAGTGGAACTGGAAATAGCAATGAAACCGAAGTTGCTTGTATTTCTTTACACTTCCTTCCAGATTTTTGACAAACAGCAGTGCTGATTGTTAGGTCTTGATTAGATGCCTATGTAGAAAAGGTATCCTTTGTGTGAGATTTTTTTTAGGTGATGCAGTTGTGATGTGAGTGGAGGGCTTTACACATGAGAACTGTTTTTTCTGACTGGACAGTGTGAAAGATTGTGGAGAATTGGTGCCACCATGAGCAGGGAGGGATTGCCAGCGCTGAAGAGCAGAAGAGAGAGCTCCAACAGGTGATTGATGTGGCCTGAGGTGATGGGCCTATATTATGCATTTTCTCTGCATAGGATTACCCACCATAGTCTTCAATTCCAATTAATTAGTGGAAGTGGTGGTCCTCAGGTGTGCCTTGGCAGCAGTATGCAGGAAACCTGGCCTCTGTGACAGCCACTGTATGTGACGGTGTTTGCTGCCTCTCTGCGTTCTTTGCGGTACCTGCCTGGCTACAGGCTGCTCCTCACTCCTTGAATCTTTTCCAAACTAGCTCCCTGTGCAGCTTTCCCAAACAGTGGTCACAGAAACAGAATGTGCATGTTCCAGATGCTTTTGCTATAACTTTAGTTAGTTCCTTTCTCAGTTGATTTCAAAGATCTGGCGTTTATTTTGCCATGGAGAAGAGCCCAGTCTGTGTGATCAGATCACCACATCACTGCCCTGCAGACCTTAGGGGAACCATTGCCTGTTGTGCTCCATGACTGCAAGGAATGAATCAGAAGGTTGGTGTTAGGCTGTGACAAAAGCCAGTAGGCTGCTGGCTAACTGGGGTCAGTGAGCCGCTGCATGGCCTGTCAAGGTTCTCCTGCACAGAAGAGGGTCTTGTTCAGCAGTGTCACTGATACACACTGTTGGAATTACAGCTCTGCACCAGAATTCCTTAGTTTTCCTTTATATTGCAGTTAAAATAGCTACAATAAGAGAAACAAGGATGAGAAGAAGCAGGAACTCTGAGAAATGGGGTAGATGCTTGCTGGTTGGCGTCCCACAGTGCATAGTGAGAAGAATCCCAGAACATGTGGAGCAGAACATGGGATATCTAGTGTGGCTGCTGAGCACTTGATTTCACACTTGGACAGTGCTGCAGGGATCTGGTGTAGCTTTACAGGGACTCGTAAAGCCGTGTGGAAACAGTGCTTAGGCAGGAATTACTCTGCATCACTTAATGCAGATGCACAGGACCCAGAACTGCCTTCAGGTTGAGACTTGCCATTGGTTTGTGTGATTAACCCTATTAGGTGTCTGATGTCCTCAGCTTTAAAGGAACCTAGGAATGAAGGGCTGTCTCCAAAGCAGTGGATCCTGTTTTTCAAGGAAACAATCTACATTTCATTTCTTCTGAAGAATCAAAGGAAGATTTCAAGGTTCTACAGAAGCTGCAAAACAGCAGCTCCTCCCCCATAGGTGTCTGATTTGCATTTTCCAGATTGTCAGGGGAAGGCCTGGGAGACCAGGGCCCATCTGGAGAAAGCAGGAGAAAAGCTGTGGACTTATTTACTTTGAAGTAACTGAAAGTTACTTCATTCCTGAGAAGCAGAAGCAGGACCTGATGGAACTGACAGCACACCAGCTCACCTGCCTACATGAGATCAGTCACACATTTACGTGGTGTCTGAGAACTGTGCTTGGGCCTATTTCACTTGACCAGGAAAGTCTATTGACGTTTTTGAGGCCGAGCTATCTTCCCCCTTTGGTTGCTGGCATTCATCTTGGAAAATTGCATTCACCATATCTGTATTTACTCTTACCAATGGAAACTTATCAGATGGCAATTTCCCCAGCACAGACACCTGTGTGTTCCAAAATCTGGATCAGCTTTTGTGCATGAGCTATCTGGGTGGTTTTATGCTAACTGACAAGAAATTTGGCTTCTGCCACGCCCCTCCACAGGGATTTCCATAATGGTATAATATGGGCAGAGGAATTCCCCAAAAACTTGGGAAACAGTGCACTGTGTGTTTCCTGCTGGGTAGGGTTACTAACACCACAGGCAATGCATGCTGTACCTGATAGTGACCTGACAGGCATTGAAAACCTTTCCTGAGGAAAGACAAGGTCTGGTTGTGGGTTGTCCTCTTTGTAGGTCAGGTGGGAGTAGTTTGAATAACACCATGAAACGAGGTAGGTAACATTGCCATGAAAACT